CCTGACTGCTGCTTCCATTGGCCTCAATTGTAGAACCAAGCAACGTGAATTCTTTGACAACCTCAATCTTCTCTCCATTTATTGTGATGTTGCTTATTAGTCCAGTTGTGAGGATTTTTGTTTTCTTTATATTGAGACGTAATCCATACTGCAGACTGTATTCTTCAACCTTCATCAGTAAATGCCTCAAGTCATCCTCACTTTCAGCAAGCCAAGTTGTATCATTTGTGTATCTCAGGTTGTTAATGATTCTTCTTTCAATACTGATGCCATGTTTTTCTTCATATAGTCCATCTTCTTGGATTATTTGCTCAGCATATAGAGTGATTAAATATGGGGAAAGGATACAACCCTGACACACTCCCTTCTTGATTTTAAACCATGTAGTGCCCCATTGTTTCGTCTGAATGACAGCCTCCTGGTCAAGGTACAGGTTCCTCATGAGTATAATCCAGTGTTCAGGAATCCCCATTCTTCTCAATGTTATCCATAATTTGTCATGATCTACACAATCAAATGCCTTTGCATAGTCAATAAAACACAAGTAAACATCTTTCTGGTATTCTTTGCCTTGAGCCAAGATCCATCTAAGAGCAACTATGATATCCCTTGTTCCACGTCCTCTTCTGAACCCAGCTTGCATCTCTGGAAGTTCTCTGTCAATATACTGCTGCAACCATTTTTGAATTATCTTTAGTAGGATCTTACTTGCGTGTGATATTAATGATATTGTTCTATACCTAAATATACTTCTTTTTAATTCCTTATCAGGGAGTTCCAATGCTTTATCTTCTTCAGGGATATGTTTTGGGTCTATATCCTGGTCCCTTGTTTCTTCTGCTTTATCTTGCTTCTTTGTGTGGACTGTGATGCTCTGTTGTCTCTGAGGCATTGTGATGTTTTTGTGTTTATATTTATTTAGTGATTGTATGTTGGAATGACTTGCCCACGATTTTTGTTTTCTTTGTATGTTATCTACACAAACAGAGTACTGTGTTCCTGTATTTGCTACCTGACAGCACTTATACACTCACCACCTGTCTCTTTTCCTGTTGTCACCCTCTCATATGTCCCTGCCAACCTTGGCAAACAGAGCCTATTCTTAGGTCCCTGGAATCCAATGAGAATACTATCATTTTAAAATCCAAAATGGTTGCCACTTGTAAAGATTCAAAATGGCTGCGCCCTTGGTCACTTTACATATCCAAAATGGCTGCACCCTTGGTCACTTTACATATCCAAAATGGCTGCCACTTGTAAACATTCAAAATGGCTGCACCCTTGGTCACTTTAAATATCCAAAATGGCTGCTGTGTGTAAACAATCAAAATAGCTGTGCCCTCCAGACAGTATAAAGTCCACAGCTCAGGTTGTCTCCCTCCTTGCTGTTTCCCTTCCTAGTCATAGGCCACCAGTGCAGTCGTCCCTGCAGCCACCCCTGCAGCCCTTGGTGACCAGGGCTGAACTTTAGGTGAATTCTCAGGTTCCAACACCACTTGGAAATATTCAGGCTGTTGGTCCCATCAGAATAGCTGACAGTCTGCAGCTCCGATCATCTCTGTATTCACTGTTTTCATTCAGGTTTTTCCACTAGTTGGTGCCTAATCCACTTCTGTATAGTTCCTTTCAAAACTCAGGGCTCCCAGATTATCTTTTGTATCTCTGTCAATCGGTTTTTCTTTTGTCTGTTGAAGAGGGTCTATGTCGCTTGTCTGCCTATTCCTCCATCTTACTAGAAGTCCGGTGTTTAGTTTTAAAACAATGAATTATAAGGGTTTTTTTTTAAATTTTAAGGTGAGCTGATTTAAAGAAAAGCACTACATAATGACATGACATAAAGACATGGCAAAATCTGGAAGGGGGGTATGTTAATGATAGAACTTTAAGGAAAAATAAGTTAGGGCCAAGAAACAAATAAGCCAGAGAGATACACTTCTTTTGTTCTCTGAAGAGACAGGGCAGCTAATTTGGCTGCTGTCTCTGTAAAGTGATGATTTAAGCCATCATCTACCCTTTGAGTAATTATACTATATAAAATTGTCCAGAATATGTCTCTTTAAAGAGTTATTATTCTGAAAGCTAGACATGTCTCTTAAAGAACAAGGGGTGAGCATGTGGCCCCAGACTTGGCAGGTTGTGCTGCTGGCTGTGTTTGTGTTTGCATATGAATGCCTACTCATTGGAGACAGAAAAAAAATAGGACAGCCATTCCTTGTAAATTACATTTCTCATTACATCTGCTTCCAACTTAACACAAGAATGAATTCCAAGTCAGTCATAAGCTATGTTTCTCAGGATTGGATTCTGTTTCCAATTAATAGACAACTTCTTAAAAAGTAACAGTCTAAATTAACACAATACCATTTCCTCTCTACTATCCTTGGGAAAGAATCTCTCATGCTAAAAGAGGGCTCCCACCACCTTTGTGTGTGTCACCATCAGCAAATGTACAGTCAACGTGGACATTTTAGCTATCATAAAAATAGACAAATGGATTGTTGCTCAAATATGATTGAGTCTACTTGTCCACTAGAAAATTATTTTTGCTAATGGTGTATTACTGAACATGTTTTCTTTGTGATTTTGGGGATTTATATATAGAAAAACACAGACTGCCTTATTTATTCTAAACAGCCAACTCCTTCAGCTGGGCACTCAGACTTGGCCTTGTTTCAGGCCACTCAAAATACATACTGAGAGCTTGTTGCAAATGTGCCTTATTCCAACCTTGAAGAAAGGAAATCAAAGCTAGACCCTATCATTCTTCCAACTCCACACTCAAGCTTTAACTTCTTAGAGAAACTTACAAGCAGCCAATTCTGCAACTTGTTAGTATATGTGGTTTGATAAGGAAGGGTATATTAGTAAATATGGCCTTTGAGATGCATGCATTTGTTTTGCATTCCCCAAAATTTTATATGTAGTACAAAGTTGAATATATCCTTAACTAGAACTTCTTACAAGAGCATGGGTGGCTCAAATGGTTTGTGATCAGTTGTTAACATAAAGGTTGGCTTGAAAAAGTTACCTTTTAAGAGCCTAAATTTTTCAAAAAATACATTCCAATTGGTCTTTAAAAAACAAAACAAAACAAATCCCAATGTTTATCCTTTTTCACTTTAAATGACCGAAAAGCCACCTAAGGCTTCCCAATGCCACTCATAGTGTCCATAATAAGCATTTACACAGGCTAATGCTTGATGCTGATGGTGTTTGCACACAAATCACAGAAAGACATTATGACGTAGGGAAGACTGAAATCATATGCCTATGAGGAATGGGAGTTTCTAGAGCAACAGAAGTGATTCTTTACAGGAGGTATTGTTGGGTGGAGCTTTCTTCTCTTCCTTAACCTTGAACACCTTGTTTACTCTCTCCCTCTTCACATCCAAACATTAGAATAGAGAAAACATTTTAGTTTACCAGAAAGCAGTGGAAAAGCTGAGCAGATTTCTCAACGGGAGAGAGACAGGGTGTGGGTCCTGACTGTGTAAACTTGGTGGGTGGGGAGACCATTAAGGCCTGTCCCAATTCAGGGGTTCAAGTGAACATTCAAGACTGGACATTGTAAACACATGAAATAAAAAGTAAACTTTTCTTGTTTGGGAGAAGGCATTGTGTTAACATAGAAGAGTCAGAGAATGAATACTAAAGAGTTTTCTAAGATCAAAAATACAAGTATTAGTACATGTTTACATTAATTCCTGTGGAGACTCAGTGTTTTTAGAATAACAGATGTCTGTCCCCCTCCACTTACTGAGTGGGTGCTGATGATTTCTTCAATCGAAATGTAAATGACTGGCTTGCTGACTGTCACCACGTCTGTGTACTTGTCCATATTAAACTTCTCTTCTGGCTCAGCAACGTTACATGCTTCTTGGAAATATTTCCTAATAAAGAAGAAAAAAAAATCTGGTTAAGACAGAGAGAAATCTGTGAGTTAAACATCTTCATCAGAACAATTAAGAAATTTTGAATGATGATTTGGTCTAGTGCTTTGTTCTCTGCCCCAAATCTTAGGGGGACTCATTACAGCACCTTCCAAACTGGCTTCTGACTGTGGAGCCAGAAGCCATGTTCCTGGCAGTTGGAACCAGCTCCTCAAACAGGACAAGGAAGATCTGTAAGGGTTTCAGACTCTGTTGGTGGACCCAATATGATCAAGTAATGGATATTTAAATAAAATCAAGACTGAAAATCCTTGATCTGAGAATCATGTCATATTAGAGAATACAATCTAAAAAATAATTGATCAATTTCACTACTTTAAATGGTATAAGCTCCTGGGCCTACAACACCTTATCAACCCTTCAAAGTTCCTGTCACCAATTTGACAAAAATGGGAGTTAAATGTACTGTTAACCAGAAATGATCTCTACTTTCCCAGGTAGTAATGTCCCAGGTGACAGTTGGTCTTCCTGCACATTTTTTGGCTATAATTTTTCATGGGTTGCTGAGGAACACATAAGATAAACAAACATGTCAGTGAAAAAGAGATCAATTTATGTGAGGAAAAGTCTTTAGTTTCGTTTCTTGTTAAATGGGAAAGAGCTGGGAAGACAGATGGTTAAAAGGAATAATCTGAGAAAAAGGGCAACAAAGGGAAGTTCTAACATGCAAGAAACACGGGAAATGGTTGTTACCTTTTCAGTCAGCGGGAAGAACTAAAATTAGCAGCTTGAGAAAGCAAAACTTCCTGTAGTAAGAGAAGTTAGGAGACTTTTCTCAGAGAGGCTACACATTCTAAATAGAGATAAAAAAATCAAGAACTACCCTTGCTGGTGGATGTTATTAAGCCAGCGGAAAAGTGAGGAATGGAAAACTGTCATTTTCCAAGTAAGGATTGAAAGAGGCCAAATTTGCATCATAGTTCTATGACCTACAGACTGTGGGAAAGGTAGACAAGGGAACAACATGAATGCCAAGAGACTCAGGGCTTCCTCAGAGAGCAGCAGGCTGAGTGAAGCCCAATGCCATGCTCACTCCTGTCATGTCCGTGTGGAAGGATGAGTGAAATAATTTGGGAAAACATGTAAGGTCAATAGACTTAAATCATACCTGTCTAATTAAGAAATGCTGAAGAGCAGAATAGAACACATTCATATACAATCACCAACAAATATAAAACCTGGACTTTCCCAGCCTTTCAAAGGCAAATCATCAGTTTCCTAGTATTGTTTGATGCTGTTAAAGCAAATTCTTTCTGAATGAGAAATGATCTTAAAAAAACAAAACAAAAAAAAACCAAAAACCCTAAAACCTCTTCTTAAATTTCACAAAGCAGAACTCAGCCATTTGATTTTTAAATTCTAATTATTATAAACTTGTATTATACCAGGAAGAATAAGTACTTTAGTTTGTCAACAGCAGAAATCATACATTTAGGAAGGACTCAATGAAACAGGGGTTCTGGGAATGGGGTCGGATGGAGGAAGATCAGGCACAAGCCCCTGACCTGCCCTTCCCTCTCTCCTCTTTTCCCATCTGGGAAAATAAATGCATGCAGCTAGATGAGGTTCCCATCCCCCTTACCAATCTCAAACTCAAGGCACAAAAGCACACATTATTCTTGTGTCTAAGGCATCTGACTGCTAACCAGAAGGCTGGTGGTTCAAACCCACCAGCCACTCCTCAGAAGGAAGATTGGACAATCTACTTCCATAGAGACACTGCCCTCAGAAACTCAAGGAGGGGTCACTATGAGTCAAATCGACTTGACAGCAGTATGTTTTTTTTTAAAATCATCTTGCAGATTTCTCCAAAAGTAAAGCCACTTCTCACCTGAATTCCTGATAGGTCTCTGACAAATAATTGTTCATAGAGGACAGATGCTCATTTTCTCCCTCAAACAGCTTGTTGGAGGCTGCATGCTGAAGAACCTTGGCCACTGATCCCAAGTTTCTCCTCTGGTCAGAATTTATTTGGCCACCGGCTGTCATGTCAATGATATCAAAGCCATCAGGAGCCACGATGGCTGGGTTCATGTACCGATAGTACAGGAGGTTTCCAACAATCTGGAGTGATGATGCAGAGGAAAAGGATCGTTTTTAAGAAAGAAAACACAGGAGTTTTGTTTTGTTTTCTGAAAGTATACACTCATTTACATTTCCCAGGAAAGCAGATATATTCTGATCTGAATCCTAAGGATGTGTTAAGTCAAGACGGGTGAAAATTACCACTATATCACTAATAAAACTAATAAAACCCGTTGCCATCGAGTCAGTTCCGACTCATGGCAACCCTGTGTGTTACAGAGTGGAACTGCTCCTTAGGGTTTTCTTGGCTGTAATCATTGTAGAAGCAGATAGCCAGGCCTTTCTCTGGCATGACTGGGTAGACTTGAACTACCAACCTATCAGTTAGTAGCTGTGCCCCCCAGGGAGCTTCAATTCATTAACAGAGTTAGCAAAATTACTTTTGGTGAAAAATATTCTTGTTGCCTCCCAAAAGGCTCTAATACAAAGAAGTTCAATAATATATACAATCACCAAATTTACTTTCACCATAATCAATAATCTTGACAGTCATTAGAAATAGAAAACCTGCAGTTTATCATAAATGGAGTAAAATCTTAGAAAATGGTAAGTTAATAATTTTGGCTTATACCCCCAAGGGAAACTATGGTGAGATTACTCTTAAAAATCTACCTTTAATAGCTCATCTTCTGTTGCATCAGGAAATTTCTCATGGATCGAATTCTTCAGTACTTTGGCTATATACCTCAATCCATAACTACATATGAAACAGATGACAAAAGAAAATAATGGAAAAAGACTAAGTGAGGAAGAAACACACAGTAATTGTTCCAGTCAACTAAAGCTGAGCAGTTTTCCTAAAAATGAAACATAAAGTGAGATGGGGATGGATTCACAAGACTTCCACTGATGATAGTAATAACTGAGTCACACCTTGAGGCTATGCTCAAGATACTGTTCCCTCTTCTGAGAACATTAGGCATTAAAAAGACAAATGTAGGCAGTCTTTTAAAGCATTACTGCAACATAAGGGAAAATTCCTGTCTCCACTGTAGGCATTTATTTTACGGAGTACTTCAGGAACTTATAGAAAAGAATGTTATTTGAGAAAAAGTTACTGTATATACCACTTACGGTAGTAGATCAAGGGAAGAAATGATAGAGTTCAGGACTTTGTCAGTGACCCTTCTTAGGTTCTCAATGGATGCTTCCAGTCTGTTTTTCACTTCTGGGTATGTTAAAGCTTGTTCTGTGGTCACATCATAAGGTAGCTTGCTGAAAACACAAGGGCCTTAAATTAACTGAAGGCACAAATACAGACATTCTTATTCTTGCCAAGTTGGTTCTAAAGTCAAGCTTTGTGTAGTGAACTTGACTTTGTCTGCTGACTCCAATGACAAAATGTTTGCTATGCTGAGGGGAGGACCCACGTGCCCAGAGAGTGCTCTTTGCCACTAGTGCAGTAGAGGCACCCTAGATCTTCCCTTTGGGCTCTTCTGGGAAAATAACAGACAGAAAGGGCTACCTTTCTTTTCTTTTCTTTTTCAATTATAAGAAGCAGATGTTTTTCAAGAAACAATTTAGAAATGGATAGTGGTGATGGACAGTGTAATAACTGTCACTAGATTATATAAGTAAAAAATTATTGAAATGGCAAATTTTTTGTTATATATATATCACCCAATAAAATGAAAACCAGGCCTATTCTTATGCTCCAAGATAATAAAAAAAAGCTTATGTTTATTACAGAAACAATTGTATACAACAACAACAATGCAAAGAATACTTAACACTGACCTAGTATGAAAAATACCTTAGTGTGTACCACTGTACTATGCTTGTATGCATGTGGGCCTCACACATTCTTAGGTGTAATGCAGTTTATCTGTACAGTACACACATTTCATACAAATCCTGTCTAATTTTTTCTAAAAAAAAAAAAATGAGTTATTGTACCTAACTGCAACTGAACAAAATATTATCAACATCATTCTATGCAAATAAAAACACTTTTATGCCACCATTCCAAATAATTATTTATTCTATTACAGGCTATATAGGAAAGAAAGAAACAAACCAAATCCACTGTTGGCAACTCAGTTATGACTCATGGCAACCCATCAGGACAGAGTAGAACTTCCTCAAAGGGTTTCCAAGATTGTAAATCTTTACAGAAGCAGACTGCCACATCGTTCCCCTGCAGGGACACTGGTGGGTCAAACTGCTGACCTTTTGGTTAGCAGCTGAGTGCTTTAACCACTGTACCACCAGGGCTCGCTTATTATGTGCTATACAAACATTTATTTACCAAATCTCCAAAGCTAAATATTTTGATTTATCCCAATGTTTTGCTATTAAAAATAGTGCTGCGACATTCACCCATGTGACCAATTCTCTGGTCTCCTCAATTATTCTATAAAAGGCACTGTATTGCTGGAAATAAAAATCTGGAATTACTTACATCTACCAAAAAAAATATAGAATAAGCCAATTCTACTTTGCTTTATGCTTACATGTTAAAGTTATTCACTTAGTAATTACAAAAAAGGTACACATTACCAGGTAAAACGAAAGTGTATGCCATCTCTTCTTGGTCTAGGTTTAGAAACACACAAGAGTAAACAGGGAGAGAATTACAGAAGTTTTGGCACTGGGGATCAACTAGTACTGAAATTTGAAAATACCATTTTAATATCAAGATGACTCAGACAAGGCCAAGAATGTGCTTGTATGGACATGTTAAAGAGAGGTACACCTTGGACTGACAACTGACTCTATATAGTAATTATTTTTTCTTATTGGCTGACAGAGTTTGAGTATATATAAAAATATACATGTAAAATGATAATAAAACGTTACTAAAAGCTAGTATTTTCCTAGCTTAGTTACCTGGCCTCTCCGGTCTGTGTTTCTAATTGGTTCACCCAAGTCTTGTATACCTCTACTGGGTTTGTGTTAATGATCAGGGATTTGTCATTGATGATCTCCTTCACCACTGGAGCCAGCAGCTGCCGCAGGGTGTTCTGTCCACGGGCACCTCTGTTGAAGCTGACGACCATCTTGATGACTGTAGGGTTTCCAGTAACGATGTCCTGTACCTGATCCACCTTAGATCTAAAAAAGCCCAAGCCAATACAAAATGGTTTGTCTTCAGAGACAGAGTTTTAAACAACATATATTCTCTCTCTCAGGCTTTATGGAACTCTCTTTTTCTCCAAGAAGATCAAAGTTGGCAATGATTTTAAAACAAACAATAATTTGCAAGATGTGTTTCTTAGCTGAGAAATCTGAGGATCTACAAATGAATACTCAGTGGTCTTAATACCAATCTAGAGAGCAGGTATGAGCTGGAAATGGACCAAGACTAACAACATTGGAAGATACTGCACATGTATTATGTCCCTTCTAGATGTTAAATTTTGAAAAATAACTTTTACTGAACAAACTGCCTTCATTTCTTTAAATCCCACTTAAATTCACTGTAATGCAGCTACTGCCTATATTATGTGGCTGAGAGAGGTCTTGACTTGTAATTCCTAACTTCTATGACCTATCCTCTTTTCACCTCCTCCCTCCTTTCACTTTTGTGCAACCTCTGACTCGCCTCTCTCTTAACCACCCTCCTCCCTCTTCCACTTCCTTTCTCATTAGAGTCTGACAATGCCACATTCCGGCTTATCTTACCTGGTCATTCCTCTTTGTTTCCTTTGCTGGGTCCCGCTTCCTTTTACTTTTTTCTACATGCTCCCATGCAGACCTCCTACACATACAGTTTCAGCTACCATTTCTTCCGAATCTACCCTCTGATCTCAATTTCTAACGTACATTTCTTTCCTCAAGGCCAGTCTTAAATTTCCGATTTTAAGCTAGACATTTTCACCCACATATTCTATCCCTCAAATTCAGTGTGGCAAAGATCCAAACTCTACTTGTTTCCTTTTCACTCCTCTGTTTCTGTGGATGGCAACATTATTTTCCCAATCTATTAAACTCAAATCCTCAGAGTTATCTTTGACTTTGCTTTTATCTTGGCTTCTACTCTTAGCAAGTTGCAAAGTTTTCTTTTCTTTTCATAACCACACTTTCCTTCTCCCTCCCTTGCATTATTACTATTCTGCCACCAAGTTCAGGGCTGTTTCCATATTTCTGCAAATGGCAGCAATCTGCGAGTCCTAAAGACCCAAGACCTCGCCCTCACGTAAATATGCATTTTCTTTAATCTTCATCGCTATCATGATATGTGTGTAATTAATGATGGAACAGTGGCTCAGAAAACTTAAGTGTTTTGCCTATGAGCACTTACTTGATAAGTGACAGAGTCAGAACTCAAAGGCACTTTCTGGTGCCCAGTTCAGTCTCCTCACTCACGAGCCCAACTTTCCTCCTCACCTCCACATCCAATTTTTCATATACTAACCTAATTTAGCATAGTGGCTAAAGCACTTGCCTGCTAACCAGACGGCTGGTGGTTCAAACCCACCAGCCACTCCTCAGAAGGAAGGTTGGGCAATCCTACTTCCGTAGTGATACTGCCTCGGAAACCCAAGGAGGGGTCGCTATGAGTCGGGGCCGACTCGACGGCCACATAACAACAACAACAACAACCACCTAATTTAGATCATAGGATTCTCACATCTGGGATGCAGTAGCCTCCGACCTAGCACCTCTGCTCTGGTCTAGTCCGCTTCACTCCTCAGTTCACTTTTTAACTTGCTATAAGAGCCACCTGCCTAAAGGATCACTGTGGTCATGTCATTCCACCACTCAAAGACCTTCAATGGTTACCCACTGGATTCACATGGAATTTATTAATGTAGAAACATGTGCGTGTGTATGTGTGTGTGTGTGTGTGTGTATGTTGTTATTTGCTGTCAAGTCGGACCTGACTCATAGCGACCCCTCCTTGGGTTTCTGAGGTGGTATCACTATGGAAGTAGATTGCCCAACCTTCCTTCTGAGGAGTGGCTGGTGGGTTTGAACCACCAGCCTTCTGGTTAGCAGTCAAGTGCCTTAGGCACTATGCTACCGAGCTCATGTATACATATACATATACACATACACATACATATATATAAACAAATTCACTGCCATCGAGTTGATTCCGACTAATAGTGACTGACCCCCTTTGGGTTTCTGAAGCAGTAAATCTTTATGGAAATAGATTGCCCAGTCTTCTTTCCGTGGAGTGGCTGGTGGTTCATATAGAAAAGTCTTAATGCAATATTCAAAAAGCTCTCCATCATCTGGCCCAACTTTTCCAATTGAAGCTCCCATTATATCTGTGCATGTGTCATATGCATCTGTTAAGGTGAATGACTTGCTTTTCCTTTCATATGTCTCCACGTCTTAGCTCACACTATCCCTGCTGCCTCAGCACTACCTATGCTACCTTCAGTGCCCAGCTGAAAAATGCCACCTCCATCCAGCAGCTTGCTCTCATTTTCTTTTATGAAATAAGTACTATTCCTCAATTCTGTGCATGAAGGTTCTAAGACTCAATCTATACATTTATTTTTTTAAAAAAGCCAATAAATTCACATGACTGAAGGATGCTGGTCATCACAGGAAAAGCAGAGTCAGAACCGTGTATTACAGGTGTTGGTATCATGTAATGCTTTACAGTTGTCTGGGTGCATAGTGTAGTGATTTGAAAAGCATATAGTATAGTACCTAAAGGTACAAGCTCTCAAGTTGGACTGGAGTTAAATTCCAGCTCTGATACTTCCTCATTTTGACCTTGAGCAAATTACTTAACCTCTTTGTACCTCGGTTTTCTTGTCTGTAAAATGGAAACGAAAGTACCTCCCCTCATAGGGCTGAAGTGAATCTTAAATAAATGAGTCCTTAGCAAGTGCTTAGAACACAGCATCTCCGTGAGTATTTAGCATAACAAAACTCAAACCCACTGCCATCAAGTCGATTCCAACTCAGAGACTTTATAGGACAGAGTAGAACTGTCCCATAGGGTTTCCAAGGCTATAAGTCATTACAGAAGCAGACTGTCTTATCTTTTTCCTGTGGAGGTACAGTAGATTCTTAACATGATTTATTCGGTACAAAAATAACTTCATGCTTGTTGAACAATAATCTAGGTACCCTCCTTGCCTTTAGACCTATGAAGCTCCAATTTATTCTCTTCATCCATGACCAGCAGATCAATCTTCTAAAATTCAAATATGGTTATGTCAATACTCTGCTCAAAAGTCTTTCACAGCTTCTCAGAAATTAAATAGATCCCCAGTACTTGTTCCTGTACTTAAGTGTTCTCATGATCTGGTCCCAACTACCTTTCCATCTTAATATCCTGGTAGTCACAAATCTAGCCACATCTGAGCTAGACTAAAGTACCTTCTCAAACATGCATTGTACCTTTGCCCATGCTGTTCCCACCACCATTATGCTTTCTTATGCTGTCCATCTCTTATAAAAAGCATAGCTATTCTTCAAAAACCAAAGATTCATGGAAACAATTAGCCCTAGCAACTGGTACACCATGTGATCTGCAGCCTATACCACTATGAGACCACAAGAACTAGATGGTGCCTGGCTACCACTGTCATCCACTTGGAAGGGATGTAGGAGATCCTGGATAGAGAGGGAGAACAATGTGGAACAAAACTCAAAATCATTTGGAAAAAACAAAAAGGGGACCAAGTTTGCTGGTCTGATAGAGCCTGGTGGAACCACGGAGACTATGGCCCCTAGCTGCCCTTCAGGTCTGGAATTGAACCCACACCTGTGGCTTCTAGCCACGCAAAAGACAGGCAGAGGAGTTGAACATTTACCTGAGGCAGATACCTTGGAGAGAACAATCATGGGAGAAAGATGGGCTGTTTGTGCACAGGGAGACAGCTCAGGGGACAGGAATGCATGGAGGGATGGATACAGGGAAGAGGTAACTATCAGAAGGAAGTGGGAGAGGAGCTGTTGCATTGGGGTAAATTGTAGTCATTGTCATGAGACAAAATGTATGTGAGCTGCTGTATGGAAAGTGAATTTGTTTGTAAACTTTCACCCAAATCACAATTGAAAAAAAAAAAAAGAGAAAATAATAATAATAAAAAAAGTATCACCATTCTTCAAGGATGTGGATCAAGCACCTTCTTCTCCAGAAAATCTTTATCAATCAGCCCAGGTGGAAGAATTCTTTCCATCTCATTGATTTTCTGTTGCATTGTGTGCATCACTCAAAGTCCTTACCAAATTCCACTGCACAACTTTCCCATCTACTCTTGAGTCATATTCCTTGTGCTGCTATAGACACCTTGAGGGCAGAGGTGCCTGGCTAATAATGCTTCAGAGATCCCTAGTAACTAGCATAGCCTAAGGTGTCAAGAAGTCAGGAGAGCAGTTAAGGTCCAGTCAGTTGATTAAGAACATCTTTCATGTTTCTGACCCATCCATTACAACCACCTATATAGATTTTTTTTTTTTTTTTACAATAATGGAATCAGTAAACAAGTTAGAATAATTTAAGTTCCAGTAAGAAGGGATGCTTACTCAACAGAGATTGCTATTCCTGTTCCAACCCTGCACCCCTTTTTATGGCTATGTTATGACTCAACAAATTGTAACTAAGTTAAATTTTCTTGTTGACTTTCAGTAAGGTGTTTCAGTTGTTGCATATACACAAAATAAAAAGTTAATTTAACACTAAACAGGCATAATTGGTGGGAGAAAAACTATCTGAATATATCTTATTTTAGTCAGTCAGAGATAGCACTATTAGCAAAATAATCTATTCATTGATAATTTTACTTATGTATTTATATACATACTGTATTTCTTCCTCTAGAGCAGTTTTAAACAGCTTGAGGAGTAGATATTCTTCTCGTTGGTTAGAAGCATAATTATAGAGTGTGAATATAACAGTATCCATGAATTTAGTTGACTTGTTTTGTGGCATCTGGAAAATCAGCTTAGCCAGGTATAAAGGATTGGTCTAAAAGGAAAAGTAATAAGAAGTGAAAAACAAACAGATCACCCCCAATAAACTATACGTAATATATTATTAAAGCAGAAAGCAGTAATCAAATCCCTGTTCTTCAGTAACTTAATATGTATACAGCATATAAAAGAACCTAGAACATAAGATTTTAAAAAGTGCCAGCTAATATTAATTCTTTGCTTGATGAAAGTGAGGATGACTTGAAGCACTTACTGAAGAAGATTAAAGACTACAGTCTGCAGTATGCACTACACCTCAATATAAAGAAAACAAAAAATCCTCACAATTGGTCCAATAAACAGCTTCATGATGGATGGAGAAAACATTGAAGATGTGAAGGACTTCATATTACTTGGTTCTATAATCAACACCAATAGAGGCAGCAGTCCAAATATCAGACAACACATTGCATTGGGCAAATCTGCTGCAAAAGACGTCTTTCAAGTGTTGAAGAGCAAAGATGTCTCCTTGAAGACTAAGGTGTGCCTGACACAAGCCAGGATATTTTCAATTGCCTCATATGCATGTGAGAGCTGGACAAATGAATAAGAAAGACTGAAGAAGAGTCAATGCTTTTGAGTTGTGGTACTGGCGATGAATGCTGAAAGTACCATGGACTGCTAAAAGAACTAACAGATCTGTCCTGGAAAAAGTACAGCTGGAATGTTCCTGGGAAGTGAGAATGGCCAGACTTCATCTCACCTCCTTTGGTCATGCTGTCAGAAGGAACCATTCACTGGAGAAGGATATCATGCTTGGTAAAGTGGGAGGTCAATGAAAAAGGGGAAGGCCCTCAATGAGATGGACTGACACAGTGGCTACAATGATGGGCTCAGGTATAGCAGGGAGCATGAGGCTAGCACAGGACTGGGCAGTGTTTCGTTTTGCTGTGCACCGGGCCGTTATGAGTCAGAGATGACTCAACAGCACCTAACAACAACAATCAATATTAATTCTATGCTATCAAAAGCTATATTAGAAAGTTATACAATTTAAATGTTACATACCTACTATATATTATAACATATAATGCATTATACAATTAGGCTACAGATACTTTTCACTATTAACATTTTTTAATCACATATCCATTTTAGAGACACAGAACAGAGAGAGGGGTAGCCAACAGAATCTGATATCAAAGGATACTGGAAGAATAGACCAAGGGTCTAGCTACATGGATTAGAAGAACTGATAGATAAATTGATGGAAACACATCTCATCTTCTGAGATTACAAAAAAAAGTAAAGGATATTTTCAAACATAAGAGCTCGGGTGGCATAGTGCTTAAGGCATGTGACTGCTAAGCAGAAGGCTGGTGGTTCACCTTGGAAGGAAGGTTGGCAATCTACTTCCATAGTGATACTGCCTCAGAAACCCAAGGAGGGGTTCCGGCAAGATGGCGGACTAGGCAGAAGAACTGCACAGACGCTCTTCAACAAAGACAAGGGAAACCAATTGACACGGCAGAAGAACTGCACAGACGCTCTTCAACAAAGACAAGGGAAACCAATTGACACAGAC